AGACCAACAGAAGGCAGTTAGTCAGTTTTACAAGAGGAGGCCCATCAGCTCAACTAACCAGCCACTTATAACAACTGCCATCCACTTGTAACAGCTGTAACAGTCAAGATTGTAACACTATAAGTAGTAGAGCAGAAAAGGAATAGAGGAGGACTCTTTCAGCATTAGACACTCTCTCTCTCTCTCTCTCTCTTTTCCTCTCTCTTCCAAGAATTCAGAAGGTTGGCCCCTCGAAGAGCCCTGAGTTAGGCAGGTTCCTAACAAGTTTATTGCTACAACATCTACCTCATTAGAGACAGCTCCTTCCTCTACGTATGCACACTCAGGTATTGGTGCCACTGCAAATCATGCTAGTATTTCAGGTACTCATAAAACCCCTTGGATAATTGATTTTGGTGCCTCTGACCATATGACTAGTGTTTCACATTTATTCACCTCTTACCAACTCCTTTCTGGCCAGGACAAGATATCCCTTGCTGATGGATCCCTTTTTCCTATCACAAGAAAGGGGAGACATCAAGACTTCACATGCCCTGGCTTTATCATTTGTTCTTCATTTACCTAAACTTAATACTAATTTGCTTTTAGTTAGTACTTTGACTAAATCCCTGAATTGCAATATGACCTTTTTCCCTTTATATTGTGTTTTTCAGGACATGAAACCTTAAAAGGTGATTAGGAGTGGCCATGAGGCGAATGCGATATATCTGTTAGACATGCCTGAGCAGAGCCAAGTGCAACCTTAGAGAACTGCATTTGTTTTAGAGTCCACTAGTCGTATTATGTTATGTCGTAGTTGTTTAGGTCATTTGTCTTTTTCTTCATTGATTCTACATTGTCGAGAAAACATTGTGAGTCTTGTGAGTTCTCAAAGCATTGTAAGAACACTTATCCTTCAAGTAATAAAAGATCAACTATTCCTCTTAATATTGTTCGCTCTGATGTGTGGGGCCTTACCATTTACTTTGTATGGGTGGCTATAGATATTTCATCCAGTTTATTGATGATTTTTCACAATATACCTGGATTTACCTTATACGCTCTTGTGCTGAATACTAACTTAGTTTGATACCTGCATCAAAATATTCCAATCAAACAATGCTAAGGAATATTTCGAGGAACCCTCCTCATAGCATCACAAGTCACTCAAAACATCTAATTTTGGGACTACGACTAAGAAAGAAGGGAAGAACACAAAGGGACAAGAGTTTAGAACAGTCCAATGTAGGTTATTTTTTTTCCTTCTACAGTCCAAAAAAGGAAAGAACATAAGGAAAAAAAAAACGATCTGCAATCTTTTACCATCCAGATCACTAGATCACCGCTCTAATACCATGTTTTCACTTGGATCCAATAAAAGAAGAGGAAGAGGATAAAAGAGAAGAAAGGGAGAGAATAAGGAAGAAGAAAGTTGGAGAGCCAAAAATCTTAGGCTGGCGGCACCCTCAATGGTATTTATCCATATGTATGTGACAACAAACATAATAAAAGATTTAGAGAATTATAAGTAAACCCCTACAGCACTAACTAATAATAAAACAAGAAAAATAAAATTAATAATGGGCTGATATCACGTTTAACTACCGGATAGAATTTGGATCACTCCCTATAGGATATGATATATATATATATATATATATATATATATATATATATATATATATTTGATTTTTCATATCATTTATGTTGTTTTGTAAAAAGACATGTGTACCCCCATTTTGTTTTAAATATATATGACAAAAATGGTTGAAAAAATGCTTGTGTTTTTTTTCTTTGTATAGACTGTTTTGTTTTTTTTCCTATTAATAATTTGTTAAATTTTACAGACCTATGTGTAATTAAATCCATTGGATCATAGGATCAGATTAGATATAGGATTACATTATTGGATCGGGTTTGGATATACCCCGATTCCAATTCAATCCAATCTGTTTGCATCCCTAACCTTGCATCACACCTCCGTGTTTTAAAACATTGATTAGAAGTAGATCTAGAAAAAGCTTAAGTAATAGCAACTCAGCTTAACTAAACTCAACAAAAGCATACCCAACTATTTGAGGTAAGTTACAGGAATTTTGTTTTTTCATTACAATCCCTCAAGGTCCATATCCTCTGTTAAATGATGCTGCAGTATGACAGCTAGGAAATAGAAACTAATCCACTAATCCATAAATGTAAACGTGCCCATATAGTTTAATTAACATATAATATTATTATGAGGTAATTATCATTATCCACTTATCCAGCCTAATTGGTTTTGGGAGCATAGTGGTAAAAATATTAATGGCTGAGGGGAATTAAAAGGTTGTGGTTATTTTCTTCAGGAATAACACATTGAGATCCTAGAAATACAAATATCTCATGAGGGTGGTTAGAAAATTGGCTATTAAATTAAATTCAACCTTCTATTGGGCTCAAAGATCTGCTGACAGAGCATGGCTGATGCCTTGGCAAGACAAGGGGTAAACAGGAAACAATTGTTTTGAGGACAAGGGGTAGGTCGCGGGGGTAACCTATAAGAAGGGGTGCTTGAAACAATAATTCTTGCATTTCATTCTTTACTCTCCACTGCAGGTTGGCACCCAAGACTCCAGATAGCTGGGAGTATGCGACCAAAAATCCTTCAGGAAACATTTTCTTGTTGCTGTTTATTCAGAATATAATTTTCCATAACAACAGACATGGAATACTAATCTTGAAATGGGATAATATAGTGTCCTTGTCAAAAGGAGTAACTACAGAAAAGAGAAATAAACCTACCTTAGAGTTATCCTGTAAGTACATCTTTCCTCTTATCATAAATCCTTGTCCCCCAGGGGAAGTCCAGCAGTTTGTATCAGTTTCATCTTTTCCTTGGCACATGGAACCATGAAACTGACTTGCATCAATATTGATAGGAGAGGTGTGATCATCTAATACACTGGACCCAACTGAAACTGCATCCAAACATTAAGTATAAAAAAATTAGTAGATTGAAATACAATGGCTTGCTTCATGTTAATTGACTGATAAGTGGACTACAACTAAAGTTGTCAAAGCATTCCTTAGGTGACAACATGATTTCTGGCAAGTTGTCATATTGTAATGCCATGAATAATATGTATGTCGTACTCGCCTTGCAGACTAGGAGCCTGCCCAGGTCTGAAAATGGATGATCAGAACCTAATGGTATCTAAATAAGGAAGCTCTACAAAAGTTATTGTGTACTAAGATGTCCCATTACATATATTCTACAAACAAAACATGAGAAAAATTTTAAGGGTTTGGGACATTTCTTTCAACTGTTCAAAGTTGAGGAGGACAAGGAGAAGGAGAAGGAAGAAAGGACAAATGACAGCGGTACTCAAAGACATTTAGCTCAATCTCTCTCTCTCTCTCTCCCCCTCTGTGTGTGTGTTGTGCTGAGGCAGGAGGTTCCGGCCCAAAAATATTGGTCTAATCAAGACAACTAAGAGGGTGTCTTGACTTGGGCATGGAGAATCAGAATCCAATGCATGTCCGGGAGTCTGATTTGGCAAGACAAAGAAAGAACTTACAGATAGATCTAAAGAAAAGTATAAACTATCAAAATAGTACATATTTTATTGATTTTAGCATTGTAAACTGTTTTGGAATGGTAGAATACTGATATGTTTCATTCTATTGCCAATGGGCATATTTATACAGTAAGCTACTGCAATAAATAGAAAGAAAGAAAAATAGAAAGAAAAGAAAATAGAAAGAAGAAAAAATAGAAAGAAGAGAAAATAGAAAGTACAAAAATAGAAAGTACAAAAATAGAAAGAAAGAAATAGAAAGAAAAAACTTTCTAA